CTCCCTCCACAGGCTGCAGATGATCCAGAACTCTGCAGCCCTGTCCTCTCCTGCACCCCATCTCCCCCATTCTCGCCCGACTCCATTGGCTCCCTATCCTTCAGAGGATCCAGTTCAAAATCCTAGTCCTCACCTACAAAGCCCTCCATGGCCTCGCCCCACCCTATCTTTGTGACCTCCTAACCCATTATCAACCCGCCCGCTCCTTCCACTGTCAGCTCCAGCCTGCTCCACGTCACCCGATCCACCCGCTCCACCATTGGCAGGAGAGCCTTCAGCCACTCTGCCCCCAACCTCTGGAACCCCCAATCACTCTGCCTCGCCCTCTCCTTAGCCTCATGTCCCGCCACAAAACCCTTCTCTTCGACCATGCCATTGGTCAGCCCCCTTCCCCTCCCCTCCCTTCTCCCCCCTGACCCCAGCTCGGGTCTGAAATGCTGTACACTGTCCAGCGCCTTGGGATGTCCTCCTGATGTGAAAGGCGCTACACAACTGTAATCTTGTTGTTGTTGTTGGGAGGAAGTCCCAAGCATTGGACAGACAGAGTTATGGACCCGAGCTAGGGGTCGGGATCGGGAAGGTGGTGGGCGGGGGAAGCAGAAGCAGGGAGATCAAAAGCACGGTCGAAGAGGAGGGTCTTGAGATGGGTCTTGAAGGTGGCAAGGTAGTGGGCGAGGCGAAGGGATTGTGGGATGGAGTTCCAGAGGGTGGGGGAAGAGTGGTGGAAGGCCTGCCTATGAATGGTGGGGCAAGTGAGGCGGGGGACATGAAGCGGAGAGAGCAAACAGGTTGGTAGGGGGTAGGAGGTCGCACGGGAAGGGGGGAGCAAGACCATGGAGGGCTTTGAAGGTGAGGACTAGGATCTTGAACTGTATCCTCTGTGTGATGGGAAGCCAGTGGAGTTGGGCAAGGATGGGGGTGATAGGGTCGCAGAGACTAGTGCAGGAGAGGACATGGGCTGCAGAGGTCTGGATGATCTGCAGCCTATGGAGGGAAGAGTTGGGGAGGCCGACAAGTTTGAATAGTCGAGCCTCAATGTAATGAAAGCATTTATGAGAGTTTTGGTGGCCTGTGGTGTGAGACAGTGGCAGAGCTGGGTGACATTGTGGAGGAGGGGGAAGGCAGAGCGGATCATGGTGCAGATGTGGGGTAGAAAGAATAGTTGAGGGTCAAAGAAGACCCCAAAGTTCCGGACCTGCTTTGTGAGGTGGAATGTGCAACCATGGATGGTGATGCTGTCAGTGTCTGAGGTATGGAGGTGCTGATAGGAGACAATGAGGAGAGCCTCGATCTTGTTGATGTTCAACTGAAGAAAGTTAACTCTCATCCAGGACTTGATGTCCGACAGACATTCAGTCAAGACAGCAGTGGTCCTGGAGTCAAGGGTGGAGGCAGAGAGGTAGAGTTGGGTGTCATCCGCATGCATGTGGAGGTTGACCCCATGTCTGCGGATGATGTCACCAAGAGGGAGCATATAGATATTGAAGAGGAGAGGATCAAGATCTGAGCCCTGAGGAACGCCACACGAGATGGTGCTGGGGCTAGAGGAGAAGCCGTTTGTGGAGATGAAGTGGAGGCATGTGAGAAGTACTATCTGAACCATTCAAGGATAAAGCCGTGGAGGTTGAGGTGAGAGAAGGGATGGATGAGGATAGAATAGTCGACGGTGTAGAAAGCAGCAGAGAGGTCAAGGAGGACAAGGAGGCAGAGGGAGCCCTGGTCCAGACTGATATAATCTCATTCGTCACTTTGACCAGGGCTGTTTCTGTGCTGTGGGCAGCATGGAAACCGATTAGAGGGGTTCGAGAAGGGAGTGGCGAACCCCTCCAGGGAATGGGAGTAGTAATTATACATTACAGTAATATAATAATTGAAAACTCTGTAAACGTAGAGATCTGAGCTTAATATCTATCCACAAATTCACCACCTACTCACCTACTAATTCATGCACAGTGGATCTTCCCCACCAATCTTAGTCATACAATTCTGTACAATAGTGTCAGCCAGTCAAAGATGGGATTTAGCAAAGGAATAATACCTCAATCAATTTTCATTAGGTATAATGAATCATCCAATCTCAAATGTGGTGCTCTATGTATGTTATTTGAGTTGTTCAGTCAAAAGGTCCACTCAGCCCTTTGAAGTTAATAAAATAAGTATTGTGCCTAAAAATATTCTCCGTGCAAAGGGATATCAATTTTAACTACATCCAAGAAGATAGGTCTGCAGTGCTGTGATGGCTGACCACCCTATTTAGCACATCAGAGACATTGAGGTTTACCTCAAATCCATAATGCGTGGTCCTAACTAGACATGAACAATGAATGTACCAGGGCTGTACATTTAATATTTTTTGCTACTGGTGTTCAATCATGTAAACTCAGTTGAGAACCAACAAAAGCCCTCAAATTGTAGCGAGTTCAAGTATCTTGAAGTCCTGTGTAGGTGTAAGTCATAGAATAATTGAAAAAAAGATAAACGATTTTGATTTGAACCCTGTATTATCTTGGTAAAAGGCTATGTATATACAATGACTTTTTCCTATGTGGGAGGATTTATTGTTAAAGTTCACTGTTTGGTCTTGTCACATCCTGTAGAAACACATATATGTGACCCAGGCACTGTGGCTTAAATTCTTTCTTCCCTCAAAGCTGTTTAAGCAATGAATTAAGTTTATTCAAAGTATTTGTAAGTTTGTTCTATATAGCAATATTGCCTGTATTCTCTCCTGTAGCAGTATTCTTGTTTTTGGAAAAGGGGTTCTTGTCTCAAAAGTTTGGGTTTGTTGTGTTAGAAAGGGAGCCCCTATAATAGATACTGAAATAAATGCATTTTCTATTACATTACATTTTCGATTCAATTAAATATATTTAGCAGCATATTCTGTTTTAAATCATTATTAAATCATATGAATCATGAATCGTATTTCCAGGTCATAAAAGTGTGTGTATCATTTACACCTCATTTCACAGTTATATCTGAGATATCCAAGGTTTGAAATGTCAAGTCACAAAGTTTAGAAAGTAACATCATATTGCAGCTGATTAAAAAGGAATTAAAGGCAATACAGAGTATATGTAAAATAATCTGCAGCATGCTTCAAGTTTTGTAAACTTGACAAAATGAACACTTTTATTGCTGAATTTGCAGCATTTTTCAGAAAAAAACATTAATAACAACACTACTGTATTCAGCAAGAATGCAAAGTTCAGACAATATGAATTCAAACATACATTCAAAGGACAACTAAGTACTTTACCGTAAAATATATGTGACACCCCATAGGATTTATTTGCTTCATAGGAAAACATTACTTCCACTGTGCAAACACCCAGCAGGTTCACATGTCATAAAAACATGTGTGTGAATGTGACTTACACCTGATTTTACAATTATTTTGAAATTCAATTGCTAATATTCACACTGATCCACTGAAATGTTTTTTTCTGTGGGTCACAAGATTTATTTGCTTTTAGGCATATATTTTAAAATTCTTCTTCATGTTTTCTATTCTCAATAAATGACTCATAGTATTCCCCACAATCATTCTACAATCAATTACAATAGGGGTTACTTCTGTTATACCAGCCAAGATGTTATACCACCAGGGTATTACACTAACATCTCTTCATCGCTTATGTGACAAATGGTTTCCACTTAACCTCCGATAGAAAACAAGAATGAACAGAGAAATGCCATGAAAGGAATGAGAAAAGCTCACATAATAGTATGGTGCCTTCAAAGGGGCAGGAAGCCAAAAGAAGAAAAAACTTTTGTTTTGAGTTATACTGAATAATATCAGTTGTGTGTGGAGCTTTTTTTCTCTATAACAATGATTTCTGCTTGTGAGAAATAATTACCCACTCACATATTGGCATTAAGAGAAGGGAATTTCTCCTGGCCAAGAAACCCCCAAATAAAATTGGTCATTCATTTCATGGCGGTTTGTGGGAATCTGCTGTCACATCCGCCAACAAATACACAGTCAATTTACTGTAGTTCTTGTGAAATCCTTTGGGACACCCTCCCGGAGTGAAAGGTGTCATACCAAATGCAAGGAACGTATAATTTTTGCATCCTCATTCACGTTCAAATGTCACCAATGAAACTCTAGGTTATCCAATATTGTCTGCATCGTCCGGGATGATTCTTAACCTCCGGTGTTGTACTTGAAGATTGGTTTGACAAGAATCTCTTGTATGGTACTTTATCAAAGCAATAGTACTAATAGCGAAATTGCTCAACTGGTGAGTGGGGGGTTGGGGTGGGGGTGGGGGTGCTGCCTGGCAATGTACAGTAGTAGGCAGTAGGCTTCTTTATGTGTGTGTGTGTGTGTGTGTGTTATGCTCCATGAATATGCGTGGGCCGCAACACGTACACGGAGTATAAATCAGAAGCGGGCTATTGCACCGAAATAACCTTCGCTAAAGTCGCGACTTTCTTCTATTTTTAAATGTCAAGCAGCGACGTGTGCCCTTCGCTGCAGCAATGACACGACAGCGCGACGCTGCGCCGGAGAGGTTGGCGCGGATCGATTTGATTGACAGCTCGGACCAAGGCGCCGATGGGTTTGTAGCCCAAAGCTCACCAAACAATAGCCCAAAAAAGTAGCCCAATGTCATGCCTGGCCTCCCGGGCGGGGGTTTACAGAGTGGCCGATGTAGTGTCAGCGCGTGGGAAAATGTGAAAGAAAAGGTCTTCAGAGGGAACGAGAGGAGGCGACGTTTTTACGGGTTTAATGTGAAAAAAATGAGGGAACCGCCCGAAACCGTTTTTTTTCCCCGCGCAGCGCGACTAAATCCCGCCCAACCCGCCACACCGCGGGCTGGAGAGAGAGAGACAGAGAGACAGAGAGAGGGTGAAGAGTGGGAGATGGTCACGTGACAGACCAGATCCGGGACAAGGCCACGGCGCTTGCGTCACCACCAGCTCCCCCCCCCCGGCATCAGCGATGGACGTGGCAACGTGCGCGCTCCTCCCCTCCCCTCCCCCCCCGCTCCGGGAGCGCGCCCCCGCGTCGGTAGACATGGCGACGCCGGCCTGGAAATAACAAGTGTGACTCTCGCCCAACAGCGAGACTGAGCGGCCGGACAGCAGCGATGTCGAGGCACAGGAACGTCCGGGGATTGAAGTACGACGAAGGTACTTTCACCGCCAGCGGAGCGGGGGGAGGGGAGGGGGTTGGCCTGATGCCCGGGGGCCGGCACAGCGGCCAAAGTCGAGCCTGAGGCCGAGGCCCAGAGAGCCGAGCCCCGGCCTGGTTTTAACCACAGGAGCAGGAGGGTGGAAGCTACAGCCTTCCGAGGCATTTGTCCAACTGGGAAGTCAGGCCCTCGTGCTCGGCCCCAGAGCGGGGTTAGAGCTCCTGATGGTCCAGTGACAGACCGCCTGCCGGGCCGGGCCGGGCCGGGCCATGAAGTGTCCCAGCTGTCGCTGTGGTGCTCAGCGGAGAAATGAACACCGTCAAAAACCTGTACAATTTATTGAAGGTCTGAATGTTCAATAATTAACTATGCGGATTATTTCTTGACCAGAAGTCTTACGTTCAGGAATTGGACAGGAGCTCAAGTTGTTTAATAATACTGCTCTTACATTTGGCACATTGCCTGCGACTATTCCCCCAGAGGGTGGAGGTGAGCTGAACTGGCTCCAAGGTGACGTGCTGGGCAACAGCAGGTCAGAATCGAGCCGGCCCTCTGTGGTGGTCTTGGTAGTCCAATACTGAGCCCGGCAGGTGGGCAGTGTTCTCGGGCACTGCTGATGACAGCACAGCCCAGCCCAGCCTGGCTCATTGCCAGGATCAAGAAGGGCAGACCAGTCACTGGTGGTGGGGAATCCTGCGACTCACCTCCTGCAAGCCAAAGCCCTAACGGGCAGGGTGGATCTCGCTGGACAAGCGATAGGAAAGCTCACCAGCCATCGATATCAATTGCAAGCTATATACTGCTTTAGCTGGTCAGATTCCAGCAGTGTCCCTACACATACTCTCGGGTCCCCAAGGCCTTAGGTCTTGCCAGACTGCTCCTAATTCATCCCGGGATTCGGTAAGCAAGATGCTTCCCTCCAGGCAGAGAGTGCATATTCCTTTCCAACAATCTCTCTGGGATTCGATGTGGGTGGGATGCATGGAATTCTCAGTTTGATTTGGATATTCTTAAGCATTGTGATGGGTTTCCGCATGTGTCAGATATCCGGCTGACCAAAATAAAGTACATTCAAAGTGCTTTAAGGCATTTAATGCAAAGTATGTATTTTGTAGGCAAATGCAGCGTTCAGTTTTGCTCATGGTGATGTCCCACAGATAGCCATCAAGTAAAAGTAAATGATCAATTTTATCTGAGGGATTGTTGGCCAGGGCATTGAGAGAAACTGATCTCTTTTCGAATAGTTCTAAGGGATCCGTAAAGTCCACCTGAACCGGCAGACAGAAGATTTAGGTCTCATCTGTAGGTGTCATCTCCCACAATCCAGCACCCCCCCAGCACTGATTGGAATGCGAACCTAGACCCGTAGTGGTCAAGCTTTAGAGTTGGCCAGCCAATAAAATACATTTTATTGATTGAATAAAGAAATATTCAATCAAGTAAAACCTGAAAACACACTATCGATCGAACATGGACTTACCTTGACTCATGCGGATGTTCGCGAGAAGTAGGTGAGGCAATGCTGTTCATGGAATTTGAATTTGATCTGCTGGGGGATAAGGGAGCCAATGAAGCCAAACAAGGGTAGAGTTAAGAGGCTCACAGCCTGATGGAAGAGAGTACATGAGGTGCAGAATTCTAGATGGTTTGCAGATTGTGTAAAGCGTAGGTGGGGATTCAGGTACGCAGTGTATTCGGGTCATCTAGCCTAGATGTGATGAATGTGTGAACAAGGGTCTCAGCAGCTCAAAGGGAGAGGTAATGGCAGAGGCAACTGATGTTGTGGAAAGTTCTGTGAAGGACATTGAGATGTCCTCCTGATGTGAAAGATGCTATATCAAATGCAAGTACAATATTTATGTTTCATGTGTTTAACTTAAATAGATTAAATACTATTTTATTTTGGCTACAGTGAAAACAAGTGTGGCAGGTTTTAAGATGCATGCTTAATTTAAACTACACTGTACCTCATCAATGTTAAAATGTTTTTGTCTGCCTGGCTCAGTTAACATTCTAGCCTATGAGTTAGAAGGTTGTGGGTTCAAGCCCCACGTTGGGACTCAGAAAACTCATATACTCTAACCTGACAATGTAGTGCTGGGGATTTGTTGTATTGGAGGTGCTGTCCTTCAGGTGAGACTTTAAACCGAGGTCCTGTCTGCCTGTACAGGTGGATGTTACAGGGTTATAAAGACAATTCAAAAAGAGAAGGGAGTTTATTCCAGTTTATCATCAACAATCTCCCATAGAATTGGTCATTCACTTCAAGGCTGCTTGTGGGACATTGCTGTGGCAAACTGGCTGCAGCATTTGCCAACCAAAACAGACACACCACATGACTATATGTGGAGACCTGTAGCTCAATGGTTAGAGCGCTCGCCTCGCAAGCGAGAGAACTGGGTTCGACTCCTGGCAGGGTGAAACCTTGGGCAAGTTTCCTTACTCCACACACCTGATAATAATCCCTCAAGAAAAAAAAGAAAATTGGTCACTTTAATCCTACGACTGTTTGTGGGACACTGCTGTGCGCAATTAACTGCCGCGTTTCGCCCACAAATGTACAGTCAATACTTTGTAGTATATTCTGTGAAGCGCTTTGAGACGTCGAGAAGATGTGAAAAGCGCTATATCAAATGCAACGATTATTATTGTCATATATGAAGAGCTTTGAAACATCCTCCTGATGTGAAAGGCTAAACCAAATGTACAAATTATTACTATTGAAAGAGCATATTGTACTTTTTTCAATTTCTCTAATTTGATATTTATTTTGCTTTTATTTTTTCAAATTTGAGAAATGTGGGATAAATATCTGAATGAGCTGGATCTTTTGAATAGTGGAGTGGGGAGACCGCTGAGGAGTGCATTTGAGTAATCCAGGCGGGAGGTGACAAACTCATGCACGAAGGTTTCAGCTGCATTTGGGGTAAGGTACGGTCGGAGGCAGGCAATGTGGTGGAGGTGGACGAAGGCGGTCCTGGTCAGGCACTGGATATGGGGGAGGAAAGACAGCTGGGGGTCGAACCGGACGTCTAGATACGCACTGGATCAGTGAGTGTGAGAGAGGGCTCAGGGAGGTTGAGGAGTTCAGATCTGTAGGAGTGAAGATGTTGACGGGAGCCAAGGAGTATGGCTTCTGTCTTGTCCACATTCAGCTGCAGGAAGGTTGCGCTCATCCAGGCCCTGATGTCTGCCAGACAAGCTAATAGAACATCGGTGAACCTGGAGTCAATGCTGGAAGAGGCAAAGTAGATTTATATGTCATCCGCATACACGTGGAAGTGTACCCCGTGTCTGCGGATGACATTGCCCAGAGGGAGCATATAGATGAGGAAAAGAAGACGGCCAAGGATGGAGCCCTGGGGTACCCCACTGGTGACCGGGCGGGGCAGGAGGAGAAACCATTTGCTGAGATGAAATGGAGGGTTAAGTAGGACTTGAACCATGCGAGTGCGGGCCCACTAAGGTGGATGAGGGAGGAGAGGTGGTGGAGGAGGATGGCGTGGTCGACTGTCGAATGTGGCAGAGAGATCCAGGAGGACGAGGAGGCAGAGGGAGCCATGGTCACAGATAGAGAGAATGTTGTTTGTGACTTTGACAAGCGCTGTCTCTGCGCTGTGGCCAGGACGAAAACCAGACTGCAGGGGCTTGTGGAGAGAAAGGAGGAAGAGGTGTGACCGAAGTTGACCTGCAACAATGCGTTCTAGGACTTTGGCAAGGAAGGTTAGGTTGGGAATGAGACGGCAGTGTGAGAGATTAGAGATCAAGGGATTTTTTTGAGGAGGGGTGTGATAATTGATTTTTCGGTGAGAGTGGAACAGAGCCTGAGGAGAGAGACTGGTTCACCATGTCGGCCAGCAGGGGTGGAGAAGAGGTGGAATTGACTGACCAGCAGCTGGGTGGGGAGGGGTTCGAGGCAGCAGGTGGTGAACTTCATCTGGGTATTTGTGGTAGAGAGAGAGAAGGGAGAAATGGGGGCAAAGGAGTGTGAGGAGGGGAGAGTGTCAGGAGCTGTGGCGGCGGGAGAAGGCGGTGGGGGGTGTCTAGGTGGGGTGGAAGGGGACTTGGGGGAGGGGGGAGACGACATTTGGATTTTTGTTTGCCTCCAGGATGACTTTGGAGTAAAAGTCAGTTGCGGCCTGGGAAAGGTGGTAGGTGTGGAGATGCTTGAGCCACAGCTGGCGGTGAATCGTGAGGCCGGATTTCTGCCATGAGTGTTCGAGTGTCCAGGTTTGTGTTTTGACTGAGCGGAGGTGACTGGTATACCAGGGGGAGTGGGTGGGTTTAGAAACAATCCTGGATTTCAGGGGAGCCAGGGAATTGAAGGTTGTGGAGAGACAGTCATTCAGCAGCTTGATGGCTGAAACAGGATCTCTGAGGGTTGAGGGCCAGAGGGAGAGGAGGTCTGAGGAAGAAAGGGCATTTGTGAGGGACTCGGAGAAGCTTTTCCCAGGGCGGAAACAAATGGTGGAGGGCTTGGAAGAGGGGACCGGGATGTGGGAGGAGAGGGAGATGAGGAAGTGGTCCGACATGGACTTATCTGTGATAGACAGATCCGAAATGTCAAGGCCATGTGTGATGACAAGGTCGAGGGAATGACCACAGTTGTGGGTCGGCGAGTTGATGTGGAGGGTGAGATGTAGGGAGGAGAGGAGGAAAGTTAAATCCACGGAGGTGGTGCAAGTGGAGTTTAGGTGGAGTTTGAAATCACCCATTATGAGCAAGTGTTCAGTGCAGAGGGAAAGTGATCGAGAGGAGAGAGGAGGTATCAGTGAGGAAGGCACCAGGAGGTTTGGGGGAGGTGGTAAACTAGGAGGATTTTGAGGGATTGTAGAGGGTGAGGTGCTCAAAGGAGCAAAACAGCCAGAGAAATATGGGGCTAGACAAAGACTTGGGAAATGAGGGTCACCCCGCCGCCAGGTTGGTTGGGGCGGGGGTGTGGTTAAAAAGTATAGCCAGGAGGGAAGGCTTCAATGAGAGGGACGGGGTCACCGAGGGAGAGCCACGTTTCTGTAAATCGAAGAATATCAATGAGCTCATCCAGGATGAGGTTGTGGATAGTAAGGGCTTTATTGGAGAAGGAGCGGATATTTTGGAGGGAAATGCGGATAGGTTTGCTGGTGGAGCGGGTTATGGAGCAGAGAGTGGTATAGAGAGGGGAGAAATGACCATGGAGTTTGAGGAGTAGGCAGTGTTGTGGAGGGTATGGATGAGGGAGGGGGAAGGGGTGTTTACCTTTCGGAGGCGGTTGGTGCGGAGAGAGTGAGCGATGGAACAGTTGGGGTGGCTGCTCTGGGACAGCCAACGCTGGGAACCATGGTGGGCCTGGCGGAGGATGCCCAGGCTGGAGCAGAGGGAGGTAATGGTGGAGTCCAGGAGAGAGAGGGCGAGGAGGGTGGTGTGAGAGGAGGACAGAGTGGGAATCGCAGAGTATAGGGGGTAGGAGCAGGAACATTTTCAGAGGGAGTGGCTCAGGTCGGCAGCCAAAACGCGCAGCAGAGACTGGGAGCCAGCGATCAGTGGGGCAGCATCAGCCCGCGGGCTACGGGACACAGCCTGAGGTGGGGAGAGAGAGGGGATGGCAATCATGGCTTAGGTGCCAGAGGCTGCGAGGGAAGGGAGGACAGTATAGCAGAAGGATAGTAAAATTTACACTATACTTACCCTACCCTGGTGGATTTGGCTAATTTACAGAAATATTGTGAAGTTTTTTGAGGTGTAATATGCAATTAGGTTGACTGATTTAGTTCAGATTCATAATTCGTTATCTTTCATTTGGCAGAATCAACATTATTCATTCCAATTGTAAAGATCAGTTCAGTGAGAAATCATTGAAGGGATCACAGAAAGCCTTTTTCTAAAAAAACACATAGAGGTGCAGCGTTATCAGCTGTGTTCTGGAAAGGACTATTTTTTCAGCTTGTTGAATGGTAAGCATATTGATTCTGCTTGATTAGCAGGAAACAACAGTTAGAAACAATAATGTGTTTTACTATAGCTTAACATGTAGCTGTTTGTTGAAGGTGGTTAATTGAAAACACTGAAACAAGTTATAGGATTGTAGCTCATGAGCATCCAGTGATGAATTTGCTCATCAATTGGATCAGTTACGATCCTGTTGGTACCCATCAACTCTTTGGAAATGTGGATACTGTATTTAAATTTAAGTTTTGTTGAATAAAGCTCTGTTCACAATTATTTTAGTTCTGATGAATTTAATGTTGGGTAAATACCGCATAAAAATTATTTGCATTTAAACTTGCGTTTAAATTATTTATTATGTGTTACTGACAATTTCATTGTATTTAAATGTGCTTGTAATGTGTAATACAGTACAACTTACAATTCATGCACAATGAACTTGATAACATTTTGTAGGTGTAGCAACAAATTTGTTGCAATAAAAATATTGTTTCAACTTGTTTCAACTTGTCTGGGAGAATTATAAATGTTAACTACTGTTTAGAATTCTCTAGAATTAATGTGCGTCTAAATCAATTCCAAATACTATAGCAATATTTGATACACCAGCTTGAATATAGATTGTATTGATTTAATTCAACAGGCTAGGGGAGTGGGCGAGTAGGTGGCAGATGGAATTTAAGGTGGGGAAGTGAGAAGTTATTCACCTAGGTAGAAAAACAGATTATTTTCTAGAGGGGGAGAGATTAGATAGTGTTAGTGTTCAGAGGGATTTGGGTGTCCTTGTACACCAGTCTCAAAAAGTTAGTTTGCAGGTGCAGCAGCAACTAAGAAGGTGAACAGCATGTTAGTGTTCATTGCAAAAGGTTTAGAGTACAAGAGTAGGGAAGTCTTGCTGCAACTGTATAGGGCCTTGGTGAGACCGCACCTAGAGTATTGTGTGCAGTTTTGGTCTCCTTATTTAAAAAAGGACATACTTGCCCTTGAGGGGGTGCAGCCTAGATTCACTACGTTAGTTCCTGTGATGAGGGGACTGACCTATGAGGATAGGCTGAATAAACTAGGGCTATATCCTCTAGAGTACAGAAGGATTAGAGGAGATCTTATTGAAACATATAAGATTGTTAAAGGGCTGATAAAGTAGACACTGAGGGACTGTTCCCCGGTAGGAGAATCTATAACCAGGGGTCACAGTCTTAAAATTAAAGGTCAGCCTTTTAGAACAGAGTTGAGGAAACATTTCTCCACTCAGAGGGCAGTGAATTTATGGAATTCACTACCCCAGAAGGCTGTAGATGCTCAGTCCTTGAACATTTTCAAGGCTGAGACTGATAGATTTTTAAAAAATAGAGGGATTAGGAGATATGGGGATAGCGCAGGTAATTAGTTAGGTCTGAAGATCAGCCATGATCTTATTGAATGGCGGGGCAGGCTCGAGGGGCCGAATGGCCTACTCCTGCTCCTAATTCTTATGTTCTTAACACAGACTTTGGGATGTAACTGTGAACTTGTGGGTCTAATACTACACATTTGGAGAAGTTATGATTCAATTGAAGTATTGAGTGAGATGTAATCAATGCACTCTTTTGTATTTTTGATATGTTTAATACTCAACAATTATTTTCTTAAATTCCATCTTACTGCTATTTATTTCTAGACTTAGAAGATGATGATGTCTATGGACATTCAGTGGATGATGACTACTGCATTTCTCCTGCAACAGGTTTGTTTATGGAAAGCTATTGCATTTCTTTGCGTTGCTTACACAAGGAAAACTTAATTGGTAATAGTATGCTGCCAGTATATTCTTGATGAATAATAATCATTCCTATTACCCCAACTAGGATAGGCCACTATGTTACATCAAGCCTTTTATGGAAGGAAATATTTTATTTGTACCGTCAGTTATGATCATTTATATGTAGTGGAATATACTTTGACAGACTTGCTATATTTTACTGGAAATCAATACTCTTATGTGTTTAAAGATTAATGTGCTGTGCTTTATAAAATATTCTAGCTGCTCAATTTATCTACAAGAGAGATGACTACAACGTACGAGCATTTATCGAGGAACCTCTGGAAGAAGGAGAGGAAGAGGAAGAACCTTCCCACAATAACCATCCTACACTTCCTGGAGTTGACCAAGGTACACTCGATATTAAAATAATCATATTGAAAATTAAAATATGGTTCTGTATTTCAATTCAAAGGTTGGTGCAGCTCTCATGCCAAATAATGAGTGAAATTCTAAGATACTACAACAAAGTAAATATTTATTGCAATTAGTTAGTAACAGATATTGTGCTTTACATCTCATTTTGCATACTTAGGTCTCTAGCAGTGATTCTACAAAAGAGAGCTCAGGTTTTCATTACAGCATTGAGTCTCATTACCCTCCATGGGTATATTTAATTATCTTGACCAAGTGACCAAATCGAGCATTCATCTGGAGAGAAAAAATATGTCCAAAAAGACTCCCAAACGAGGCATTCTGCCAGGTATAATAATAATAATCCTTGCATTTGATATAGCGCTTTTCACGTCGGGAGGACATCCCAAAGTGCTTCACAGAACACACTGTAAAGTGAATTGACTGTATATTTGTGGGCGAACGCTGCAGCCAATTGCGCACAGCAATGTCCCACAAACAGTCGTATAATGGGGTTGTTTCAAAAACAACTGTAAAGAATGTTTTCGAAACTCAAACATAAAGCACTGAAATGGGATTAGAACTGGTGTAAAATCATAAAACATTTTTGGTAGATTGGAACAAAATCCACTTGGTTTAATATTGTAGAAGTTTGATTTAATTTGATTTAATTCCAACGAAATCTTGTGTTGTGCCATTTAAAATACATATAGAGTACTTTAGTGGACTTGCAGTCTTGTCACATAATCTTTATGTTGGAGAGGATAGACTCTGGCATAGTGTCATGGTACTCTCTCTCTTCTTTAAGTGTGAATTACTCGCTCCTTTCATGTGCATTCTGAAAGTCACAATCCTTCACTTCTCACTTTGTTGAAGATACAAGCCCAGTCAGAGCGATCTCACAAACTACCTACAACACTTTATTTCTCTTAAATTATTCTTATTTATTCTGACACATACCAATAAATAATAGCTTTCCCGAATGTGGCATAGCCACGCAAAAACAAAAAATATAGCACTTTGGCAATGCTTTAAAAATACTTTATAGAGCATTGAGTTTAACCAAACTTTAATAAATCATGAAATCTAATACCTTAGTAACTACTGAATGTACTGAGCCTCCATGAACAAAGACATCTTGGGAAACACAGAAGAGATCATTTTTTCAATTTTTACCTCTTCTAGGAAGGTTTCAATACCTGAGTTGCGTTAGTTGCATTAGTAGTGTTTGTCGTGTTAGATCCATCTGACCCTTACTCACTTGCCCAAATTTAGCTCAAACCCTACCCTTTATATCCCAATTTAGTCCATGTGAACTTTACAACCAAAAATGGAATTCAAAGGTTATTTTTTCCAATCATATTCCATTCTTGATTAGCGAATCACATTCCCAAACTGGTTCATCCAATCATTCCTTCACGCCCCTTCAGACACCTGATACCAAGTGTCAAAGGTTCATCTGGACACTTAAATCTTCCCTTCCTTGAAACTTTGGAGTCATAAAACCAGTTAGTTTATGGTTTCTGAAATCTTGAGACATCAAATCTATTTCATCCATTAAGCTTCCTTTACGCTTGTTGAACACACTGACATTTGCCCAATGCTTATATATTGATAAATGAAGTGACTTGCAAACATAACGAGCTCCAAGAAAAATATCTATCCGTCAGATTACAGCACCTGGGACTCATTATCATGTACCCAAATTCACCTTTGGCTCAGTAATTTCAAGTCTTCTAACTTTAATTCTTGTTGTAACCTTTATCCCCCCTCTTGCTACACTAATTTCACTCTACCTCACAATAGGATAGGTCACTTTTATTGACCGCTATTTAACTTAGGTGAGTCAAGGACTGAGTGCATGAATCAGAAATAGCTTTCTTTGCCGTCTACAACATACAGCTGTAATATTCCGTCACTGAGCGGTTGGAGTTTGTAAAACATGGAAGTTGTTGATGGGATGAGCAGAGCTGAGATTTCTCGAGGATTTTTTGGAGCTACATTTGCCCCTTTTTTCTCCCATGTAAACTCGGGATTACCAAGTCATTGAATTGAATGTTTGCAATTGAAGAGAGTTTGCAATCCTAACAGATTTGAGGGAGATGGCCATTATTAGTTGTATTTCTGAACAGTAATTGACTTAATGTTTCCAGTCCTGAAGTTAGTACATTATCTGTCTGTCTACTGAACAACTGACTATCTTGTAATTTTGGTTACTGTCTTTCTTTCATGTTCGGGAGTAGTAGAGGTACTAACTGCTCCTTCACTTGAACCTATCGATGAATTGTCATTCACAAAAAGTATGATATTATTTTGATATTACTAGGTTTATGTGCTGGTTGATTCTCAGTCTCTTTGTTTTTCTTAAGTATTGACATCAAGAAAAAGATAGAAAGAAAACACAAAATATTGCAGATGCTGGAAAGCTGAAACAAAAACAGAAGTCGCTGGGAACACTCAGCAGGTCAGGCAGCATCTATGGAGCAAGGAAAGTGAGTCAGTGTTTCGGGTCCACGACCCTTCGTCAGAACTGGGGCATGTTGGGAGAAAGAGGCTTTTAAGGGCTAACAGAGAGCGGGGAAGCAGGGCAAGGAAGACAAAGGAGAAAATGGGGTAGAGGACAGGGTATTATAGGTTAAAGATGCATTAATGATGCAAGACAAAGGGAATGGGGGATTGCAACAAAGCAAGAGAATCTTTGTCTTCCTTGCCCTGCCTCCCCCTCTCTATTGGCCCTTAAAAGCCTCTCCCTCTCAAGAAGCCCCAATTCTGACAAAGGGTCGTGGAACCAAAACGTTGACTCACTTTCCTTTCTCAATAGATGCTGCCTGACCTGCTGAGTGTTCCCCCCAAAAATAGAAAGAGCAGTTTAAGATTTATTGTTTTGGCCATGATTTGTAGTTAAGGATAGGTACAAAGCTTGCAGTTTGTGCTGAAACAGGACATTGGTATGTTCTGGGAGCAGTTCATATCTTCTGTTAAGGTTTGGGAACCTGAACACCTGTGCAATCAGAAAAAGTAGTATAACCTGGGTGAAACTTTTGAAAGAAGTGTTTGTTTGCAAACTATTGGGGTGTTTCACATGAATGGAAAAACTCCACCTTATCTATAACCTGCAAAATCTATTAACAGTATGACGCACAATTGCAGATGACACTAAACTAGGTGGTTTATTGAGTTCTGAAATTCGACAGATTAAGCAAATGGACAAACTAAATGGCAAATTAAGCTATGACAGATGGAATTCAATCTATCAAAAATGAACCCAATTGATTTGGGAGTCTAGGTTTCCAAGTGCTATTTTATAGGTGCAGAAAGCAATCTAAATTGCAATAGTATGCTGGTCAGATGGATTATGTGAACCTGTAATTTTTCTTGATCAGCCTGGTGTCTGATGCACGTTATTCATAAGGATATCCAAACCAAACTGGGGGGTTTTGTGCATCCCACTTGTGCGTGGAAATTCCACAGAATGGAATGTGTACTCTCCCTGGAGGGACCTATCTTACATACCTAATTTCAGAGAGTATTAGGAGTAGGCTGGCAAGAGCCAAGGATTGGAGACTCTAGACTGTATATTGGGGTACTCCTGGAGTTTAACCAGATAAAACTGCATAGCAGATATACAGTCAATTCACTTTACAGTATAAATAAAATGCAAAATATTGCAGATGTTGGAAATTTGAAACAAAAACAGAACTCGCTGGGAACACTCAGCCGGTCAGACAGCATCTACGGAGAAAGGAAAGTGAGTCAATGTTTCGGGTCCACGGCCTCTCTAAATTGTACTGATAAGCCAGGCAGGTGACTTTGTTATAAGCAGTGCACTGGAGTGTTGTGGCACAGGAAGTGGACTATTGAGACCGCCGCAGAGGGTTGACTCGATTAGGGTTACATTCCATTGCTAAATATGTCACCTTGTAGCTGGTTCAGCTCCAATAAGCTTTCTCTTTTCCCCCCCACCTCCCAAATAGAGTAGTCATTATAGTCACCAGTTAATCATTTTACAAAAAANGTTATACTTCAAGAATACTACATAAGATAAGTTGTAACAAAGTGCTGGGTGAAAGGTAGGCACTATTATGGTTAAGAATGATCTTGTTACTTTTTAGATTTTGTTTCACGTATTTTTTCCCGTCAAGTATCACTGTAGCACACTTTAACTGAGAGGTGGGCTATTGACTTGCTTCCAGTCAATTACTGAGACTGTTTTGTAGGCAGCAATTGACAGGCGGAGTGGGAGGCAAAAGTGATCTGTCGTGTTTTGTGGGACTGGACCTGTTGGCTTTTCATTCCTCCCCCTGGAAAACACCTGGTCTCTATTTAGCATATTGCCAAGATGTCACATTTAAGTTAGAAATTTTCCATGTGTGGAATTGCTTTGTGAGTTCTCTGTGGTACAGTAGAACTTCTTTATAAAACATTTCAATGTAAAGTCTTTAGCAGATTGGGGTGTGAACCATAATTTTATTTACCCCCAAAAATTCAAAAGTGGTCACCAGCGTCACTGGGATTTCAAAATACTGGCTGACCCACCAGAAACTAAAATAAATGACTTTCAGTTTGTTGCTGATGTCACTTTGACTGCGCTGGTCACACTTGACTTGGTAGTGGTGACTTAATGCCCGGCAGTCAGGGGTTTTTGGTACTGTGACATTCCATCGAGGCAGCTGTCTCACTGCATGTATACACAGTGGATGTAGAAGTGCTGACTAGCCATCATGCCTTATTTAGTTAGTTGGGATTTTGTAGACCCCAACTACCATGTATAACACACATTGGAGCACCATCGTGTAGCCACCATCTTGCGCAACTTTCAGCACTCAAACAACTAAACATTAAAGTAAAGAGTTTAGTTTTTTTAAGTAACTGGAGATGCAATGTGCTGTAACACGGATGACACTGGGTATTCCCTACACAGTGAGTTCTCAGTCTCATCCATTCCACTTCAGAATCCAGACCAGTGTAGAGGCTAAATGCTTCTCATAGAAATCAGAAGGCCTGCTGGCTTTAAACAAGAAATTAGAACAAAAATGATCATTAGGTCCAAAAGAACCTGCTTGCTTGTGTACATCCTTGCAGTTGGTTGCTGGGCTCATAAGATGAGGATTCAGAGGTTTCCACTATGTCCGTTTTGTAACATGAAACTATAAGTTTTAAAAAAGTGTGAATGAGGGTTTAAAATTGTAAAGCAGTGTGAATGAGGGTTTAATTTCTGAAGTTGAAGGTATTGCTGGAATCCATTCTTGATCCACCTGTGAGAGATTAGAGAAGAGAATGCCACAATTTGCCAAATATTTTTCTCTTTCTATGTGACAAAGTATTTAGCCTCCACTTGTGGCTTTCCTGATGCATTGACTGAAATTGTAAATGTATCTTGTCAGGAAAATGATTAGAGGTACTCAGAAGCACAGTGCATGCTTAGAGTACTTATGTGCCACACAAATGTGGGGGGAATTTATATCTTGTATTTATTTGGGAATACCTAAAATTAATTCTAAAAGAAAGTAGTGTGTCTAAATGAATGGGGTTGATTATCGAATGTTTTTTCACACAACAGAAATTTTATCTTGCATAATCTCTATAAAAAAAAGTACGTTTTTTTCATTTCAGCTCGTCTACATTCGTGCCTTGATCGGATGCGAGAAGTCTTGGGGGAGTCCGTGTCAGAACAAGTGATGGTTGATGCTGTGCTGAGTAGTCAGTTTGATACACAGCAAGCCCTTGATCTTCTACTTTCACAAGAAGGCAAACAAACCTCAAAGATTAAGAACAAGGATGCAGCTCCTTTATGGAACCCCCCAATAGGTATGTGAATGTTTTATTTTAAGATTATTTTTTTTTAAATCCCGGAGTATTTTAAGGTTAGTAAAACATTTTATAATTCCTACTTCAATATTTGGCCCATCGTGTCTGTGCCGGCTCTTTGAAAAGAACTATCCAAATCAATCCCACTCTCCTGTTCTCACACCATAGCCTTGCAAATGTGCCCTCCCCAAATAATTATCTAATTCTCTCTTAAAAGTTGTTATCGAATCGGTTTCCACCACCCTTTCAGGCAAACAAGAGTCATGTAATCAAGATTTTGATTATCTACCTTGCTGTAATTCAACACTGAACCACCTGAGACAATAATTCCTCAAGAAGGGTCCTCAAGCAGAAAGGTGGAAGAGAAAGACCAAGCTGCGCCTTTGGATTATCCACTTGATGTGACAGTATGGCTATTTGATATATTTAATCCAGAACTATTTGAGTTCTAACCCTGGATAGAGATGCTGCTCTGTATGTCTTTGAAGCCTTTAATTGACCAAAGAGTGGGGGGGAGAGTGCCCCCCACTTGAGAACACTTCCTCACATTTGATGCTAGAGAGAGTAGTACCATAATAATAATCCTTGCATTTGATATACGTGTTCATTTTGTAGAACAATTTCATAATTGTTCCACAATATGCATAAGAAGCTTTTAGTTTTAACCAAAATAGATTGACTTTACAGTGTTCATGACTCCTCTGATCTGTTCATCCCACCTTGTTTGGTGTAATATGACTGATCTGCCATTAGAACATCTCATGGATTATAAGCTCTGCTCAACCTTATTGTGAAATCAAAGGACTCAAGGACGAGTGCAGATTGGTAGTATGCCATCAGATCTATTGGACTGGATCTTTACACATTTGAACTTCCCAGCTTCTTACTGTGGCCAGGACTGATTTTGTCGTTCAGGCCAGTGCTGTCAATTTGTAATGTATTAGATTGCTTCATTGCAATAACAAAAATATACTGATTTCCCTGAATGCAGCTGTGATCTCAAGCTTTTGCCACATTTTGTATTCCCTCTGGACCTGCAGTAGATGTACATATCCTTCCAGACAATTTGGGGAATCCTGCTCTTTTAAACATATTGATGGCAAAGATGAATAATCTTCTGAGGCTATTATGGTTCCAGTAGTAATGGAAATAACTCATTATTACTTTAATTCTTCTTGGTTTCCAAAAGCTCAGGAGGATTCTATCTCATCCACATCTCAGAAAAAAAGAATACATCTTTGAAGAGTGAGAAGTCTGAAAAGTCACTCTTGTTTAGATTATTCAGCCATTGTTTCCTTGGACACTGGCTGGCCAGAGAGGATTTGAGGATGTTTTGCCATTTTATTGCGTCATTGCAAGTATATCTGATTCTATTTCTCTTTCATTTACAATGTGCTTATTTGGCTTTTCCACAGTTTGAGAGTTTTCCCTAAGTGCCCATTGGTTATCACAACCATCTGTTGCTTTTGAATGCTTATATCTGTCATTGTTAAGACTAATGCCTCATTGAGAGCTCCATTTTTGGAGGTGGTTCAGACAGCAATCTTTTGCATCCTCAGAAATTGCCAGGAGCTTACCTTCATCATCAACTGCAATGAAGTTGAATTGGGAATTGATCTTCATAAGTACCTGCTTTCAGACAGCCCTAAGAGGAATCATGTTACTGCAGGGCTGTTTCTAGTGCTTCCGATGCAGGTTTTGCAAATAGCTCAGGAAGCTGGAACTCATTTCAAATCAGTGGAAAACTATTTATGTCTTCAGTCCAATTGCAGCAGCCATCTTTGTATTTCCAAACTCCAAGCTCTTCAGAAGATGCCTTCCACTGAGCCTTCTCTGCCAAAAGTCTCCACACAGGTCACTGTTGTGCAATGATAGACGAATCAGCCTTTCAACCTGGATTTAAGGTGGGCACAATAAAGAAATATTCTTCATCAGCTACCATTTAGGCTCTGGGGCACACTATTCGGATAAATGTTAGCTGGTACCTTGTTTGGTATATCAGTTATGTAATTATTTGCTCCATATTCTATTCTAAGTTTCTTCTCCATACTGCCTCACAAAATATATTGTTCTTTAAACTTGGAACACCGCCTTCATTTACATGGATGTGTAGTCTTAACTGATTTATTTTCAGCTCTACTAAGCAAAGTTTCATAAGTGGACAGTTGATCTTTTGGTTTAATTAGGACATTCTACGTGATCACAGCTGATTCTTGGGCATCCTTGAAATGTGTGTTGATGGTATTTGTAAAGATGCTGTATCGAGCCGTTCTCTTCTGTATCAAGCATTACTGCATGGATTGGAAGCTATGGTTGATTTGTGTTGTCGTCGGTTTGTTCTGATGGCTTGGTTCTCTGCTCCCTGCAAGAAACCCTTTTTCCTTGAAGCTTCAGTGGTGTGTGAAAAATTCCTGGAATGCAAAGAAGAGAACAGGAAGTTTACCTATATTGTATTGTCTTTTATTCTTTGAATAAAGGAGATCTTCCACACTGTGCACATAAATCCTGCCTTCCGTCTGGATTCTTGCAGGGATTATGAGAACTCATTTCTCTTTAGTTCTGGATAAAACATATGTGCTGGGGCAAGGCCTTCCTTTTATAGTACACTAGCTGTACCTGTTGCAGCTACGCTTGCAACCAAAGGATCCAATATGGAATATAGATTTCAGTGATACCACTCACAAACCACTTAACATGTACATCTTGCATGCCTTTCTGTGTCGAAGTCAAACCATGCTGTTCTTTGAGCAGGTAATTCATTTTGCTGTGTTCTTGCATGCCATTCTGCGTTGAAGTCCAGCCTTGCTGTTCTTTGAACGGGCAGCTCATTTTGCCTTGCTCTTGCAGTCCTTTCAACATTGAAGTCCAGCCATGCTGTTGTTTGTTCTTCAGTTTTATTTAATCGGCCTTCTTTCTTTTGTCTGACATTTTTATTTGTTCTGATTTTTGCTTAAAAAATGTGCTATTGGGAGGACTCCTGTGGGAGGACTGAGTGGGAAGACTCAGTGGGAGGCCTCCTGGTGGTTGGGAGGCCTCCTGGTTGGGAGGACTGTAGCTCCCATGACCACCCGAAAAAACTGCCATATATTTGTTGCAGAATATATTAGTATTGATGAATCATTTTAGAAGGGTGTGTCCTTTCCTCTTGTTGCAGAATACCATACATACCTCATATTTTGGGGCTTAATTAAAGTATTATTTAAATATAACTCATCAAGGATAGGAGATCCCCACCCAAAAAAAAATGCCCATGTCACTCTCTCATGCAAGACCTTTCTGATGAGGTATAAATCATGTCTCAACATCAATCGGTTATTGCGTTATTGGCGTAAACAATGACACACAGACGCTTTGTCTTTATTAGTATAGATGAGAGTAAGAGGAGATCACACAAGCAATGACGCTGATGCATTTAAAGTTATATCATCCTTGTAATATTTCCCTGGATTTTGTTCTTTGGTGGTACCTAACGCGGTCTGTGGTGGATGATCCTTAATGAAATTATTGAAAGATTCAAGATTATGAGAAGGTATGTAATATTTTCCTCTGGCGTATTACATTGTGGATATTAATCTCATGGGTGAGATTTTTTACTGAAGCAGTTACAAACTGGATACTCTTGCTTTGCGTCTGCTCACATTTGTGGAAATCCAGAATTGCAGACCTTGATTTGTCACTGTTCTCTTCTATGATTAAATAAATGTCCACCAAAATCAGTTAACTTGACTGGAAATAAATGCCACAAGGTCAGAATTACATTTACTATATGCCATTATTGTTTGTTTTCTAGCTTTTGATAATAAGAGACAAATGTTCAACTGGATGTCAGATACAGAGTAACATTCTGGGTGTAGGAAAGACTGTTAAAGCAAGACATTATATACTATATATAATTCTTGCATTTGATACTGTGCCTTATTACTGTGAAGTGTAGTGACTGTATTTGTAAGTGAACATGAAAGCCAATTAGCACATAGCAATGCCTCACAAGCAGCCATGAAGAGAGTGACCAGTATTATTTGGGGATTTGTTGGCCAGGACCTCAGGAGAAATTCCCCTCTCTTTTCAAATAGTGTCATGGAATCTTTTCATCTGAACAAACAGACGGAACTATGGTTTAACATCTCCTCTGAAAAATGGCACCTCTGACAATGCAGCACAACCCGAGCACTGCTTTGGAGTGTGAACCTAGACTGAGGTCAAAGTACTCACATTCTTGATAAATTGGGGAGAGGTGATGAGAGAGAATAAAGGCAAAAGAGACTGTTGGAAAAGAGATGGATCTCAAATTTTAGGAACAGATATGTTTTAGGAATTCTGAAGGTCCATCCTGCATGAATGCAACATTACCTTCTGAAGCCAGTGCAGAAAGTTGGTGTCTTCTTTGACTCCCAACTGTCCTTGTAAGCTCGATATACACGCTCTGACCCACTCAGCTTTCTACCACCTCTGAAACATGTCCCGTCTCCACTACTACCTTTCCCCTTGGGATGTCAAGACGCTCATCGATGCATTTATCACACCCACTTTGACTAATACAATGCTCTGCTACCTGGACTCACAGCTCTTCACTACTCAAGCTGCGGAGAATCCAGAATTCTGTAGCCTTGTTCGTTCTCACACGAGTCTCCCCAAGCCAAATTGCCCCAATCCTCACTGAGCTTCATTGGCTTCACATCCCACAGTGGATCGAGTTCAGGATCCTTGTTCTCAGCTTTAAATCCCTCCATGAACTCGCCACACCCATCCTCTACAATCTCCTCAAACCATCGCTCAACGAGTACCAGCCTGTTTCGTGTCCCCCGCTCCACCTGCCCCACTTTCAGTAGGCGGGCTTTCAGTCTTTCTCTTCCTGCTCTGGAAGTCCCTCTGATGCGCTTACTCTCTTACCTAGTTCAAAGTCTGTCACAAGACTTTTTTTGACCACAATTTGGTCATCTTTTCCTTCCCCACTTCTCTTTGACTCTCATGCTCACCTCAGGTGACTAACCAGTTAATTA